TTTTTTCTCGCGGTTCGGTGCGATTAACATTGGCTCGTTCTGCACAACAATTATTGTACAGGGAAACAGTCGTATATTTTTCGCGCAAACGGTGTTTTGACGGGTGATCGTGCGTATTCAGATTAAATATTACAATACACGCACCATTTAAATGCGTTTAACCGCGACTAATTAGCATCTACACCGACTTTGTACGCGTATATTATGTAGGTACTATAATACGCCTGTACGCGTATCAGATTTAAAATACATTTAAAAATCATTACGATATTATAATATTATAATAATTAATGCCCGCATTTAAAAACAATGGAAACCCGCGTAATTTGTTTCAAATAAATATTGTAATGTACGCATTCGCTACACGTTATCGGTGTTATTATTGTCGATATTTAACCGAAAACAACGGTAATAATCGCGTGAATCCGAAATAACTCGGAACGAAACGGTTATTGCATTATAATATCCTGTCGTGTATGAGGCGGAGTGAAGTGCAGGAAAATGATAAATTGCAATACTGTAACCACCTGCAATTAGCAGGGCGCTATAATCAGTTAGAAGAACGCTATAGTAATAATTATACACGTCGATTTGTTGTGTCCGTCTGAAAATAAAAAAATACTATTGATCTATAATCAAACTTATATGCAAGAACTTTGTTATTGTTAGAACGTGAATATGATTTTTTTTTTTGATTTTCATCCTCCGATATTGTTTTAATTTTCAAGCGAGATATGCGTGTATAGGAAATAAAAACGCTTATAAAAATAGCGAAAAACAACAACGAACGGTACCGCAACCGATAACGCCGCGTTCCTTTTAAGTTGTATAGGTGGCTATTTTTTCTGACTTCCCGTAGTGCACACGTGTATTTGAATTCAGTCGCCAATGATTTTTTCCTTTTTAGATTCTGAACGGAGCGAGGAATGTGTTGGTTTTACAATGATGATTTTTTTTTTTTTTATGTGAACACTTTTTTTACCAGAAAGTATACTCCGATTATCAAGTATAGCATCTTTCCTGAATGTTTTTTCTGAAAATATTCTCTGGGTGGAAACTCCGCTCAGAATCGTTTTTTCGTTAGTAATGGTTTATCGTTGCTCACGGATATACATTAAATTCCCGCTTGCATGCGTTTGTTACGGGTGAATATGAACTATAGTTTTTTTTTTGTCTAAATTGACGATTATTTAAAATTTGTATTGTTTTACTAAACGATCGTAATCAGATTGCATATTGAGTAGCGATAATAGATTGACTGCAGATAAATAGGTACGAAAAAAACGACTAAACGGTGCAAGTTTTTCAGTGTTCATTACAATGATAATTCCAAAATAATCAAAAAAATCTGAAAATTAGGAATATAACAAAAAAATAAAAAACAAAACGGGCATATTACGCACTGTCGGTAGGCCACTGTTGTAGGTGAGAATTTGGGAAGGTAGAAGAGAAATGTAATGTATATTTGTATGCAACGATTAATCATTGCGCTAACGAAAAACGATTCCGAGCGGAGTTTAATTTTACTATATGTTTTGAACGGCCGTATACAATTCTCGATATGAAAACAATACATTCCGTAAATTTTCTCATTTATTATGAAAACCTCTGTGAAAGTCGAAAAACGCCACCCCAGTAAGATTTCCTTTCGGAAAAGGCTCTGCACACGAAAATCGGAGCAAAATTTCTGATAGAAAAGTTGTTCACAGAAAAAAAAAATGACAAACATCGTTGTAAAAACGATACGTCCCTCGCTCCGCTCAGAAATCAATAAAATAGTGATATGAAGCACGTCACATTTTATTTACCTTCCGCAATGACTGCACAACCAACACCGCGACGAGTCTGTACAGTTGATTTTTCAAAAGATTTCTCGCGCACACTTTACAGAATTTTCCCGTTCCTCCTTGTACGCGCGGTGTAAACGAAACAGTGTCAGTGTTGTTACAATAAAAGATTGCGAATAAAAATGTCTGCCGCGGTATGTTTACCAATCGCGTTTTACTCGGCCAACAGCACAATACAACAACGGCAACGATATCGCCAAACACCTGTACGTCGCGCGTCGGTGGATAATATTTCATTTGTAAAAAGCCCGGTGGGGGTTGTATAACGTACGGGTTTTGTTTGGCGTTCGGGATTCGGGGTTTTGTAAAATTGATTTGGCAATTTTGTTTCGATTCGACCGCACAATCCGCGTGGCGTACACGGAAATTCGGCCAACTAACATCGTGTATTCGTGTTGCTATTACATGGAATAACCGCAGTTTATTCCAATGGGAAATTCGAAAGTATTTATTTTTCGCTTGTTTCGACGACGATGGGTTTTCTGTGTATGTATGAAAAAAAAAAAAAAAACAACACTTTAGTTTTCTTTAGTTTTCACGATTAATTCGAAATTAAAAATCACTTCGATTAATTATTTTACTTGCATAATGATCAGCAGTATAATATAACACCAAAACCGTTTCTTAAATAAAAAGTAAACAACCCAATTAATTACTCTGCGGCGATTACACCCGACTCGTATATTTGATTTCGAGTACCGATACTTGTTGCTTTTTTTTTTTAACTTGTTACTACTTTGCTCAAGAATAAACGAATAGACCGAATAATAAATAACATAATAACATAATAAACCGAAAGAGTGTTGACCAGAACAATCAAGAAAAAAACGACAACTTCGGCATGTAGCGTTAAAGTCAGAATGGACGAAACGCTATTTACAGGGATTATAAAGTTGTTTTTTTTTGTTCAACGATATTGTGCGGACTGAATCCCAGTCCCAGTGTGCAGAAAATAGACGAATTGTGCAGTCCCCGACATTTGTACGCGTCAAGTGAACCGCGTCCTAGTTGTGATACGGCCGAAGAGCGATACCCCGGGGCCTAATGTACATCCGATTCCAGGGGACACACATTATTTAATTGAATTGAGTTGATAGATTTCCATAGCAAAAAAAAAAAAACCCGTAGGAAGCGTATCACTTTATACACTACTTACCACACGCATTTATAGAATTGATAAAAAATTCTAAACGAATTTGACTAGTACAAAACGATTTAAAATGAATAACATGTTGTATTGGTTAGAGCGGGTTCATTAGTTGTTTGTTATCAGCTTTATACTGTCATTTCTACAATTAACACTATAATATATAAAACGTTATAAAACCCCGGGCACACAATATTTCAGGACCCGGACTCACAGCCATATGTAGATGCAATATTTACCTACATGTGTTCACCTATGCAGACGCCGGAGTGTCGGGAAGCTGCAGCACCCTGTGCCCGAAAAATGTGTTCCAATCCGGTCTGTACGCATTTTCCCTTATTAATAAATCTATTCAAAAACGAATACGCATTTTTTATCGAAAGACCATACATAATTATCCGATAGTAAAATACAGAATAATTCGTACACGACAATTTAATACAATACCATTGATTGTATTACAGAATTATAAGTAAACCAACAGTTATATTAGGCATTAACTTATTAAACGCGGTGTAATTTTTGAAAAATCTGAGGTTTTTTTTTCTTTTCGAGTCAACGACAATACGTCATTTTGCAATTTTTTTTTTTGTTAACATTTCGCGTTAGAATTCTCGCCGATAACACGACAAATTGTAACTCGTTTTCTTGTAACAGAATGTTATACTTAAAATAATTATCAATTGAAATTTCAACCTAACCGTCGTTTTCGTTTGAACGGGTCTATCATTGCGTACGGATATAAATTGAATTACCATTTTCAAATTTATCGTATTATTTATTATTCGCCCCGATAAATGTCGATGCACGCACTGAACAGCGCGGTGTGCCCGGTAATTTTCAACGGGACGGGACGTTACGGACAAGAACCGTAAAATCGTCTTCCCTATCCGACTCGACTGGAGTCCGGGAATGTTGGTAATTCAAAAGCCGGATCCTAGGAAAAAAAAAAAAAAAAACCCAATATCCAATCAATACTTCGAGCTTTTCCTCGTAACTCGGCTGAAATACACGACGACGTTAAGTCACTCACGTTTGTTTGTATTTATTTTTAAGCCGGCGGGGCGGGAGATAAGGGGTTATAGCCCCCTCCCCCGTTGGCTTAAAAACAAATACGAGTGACTTAACGTCGTCGTGTGTTTCACCGAAATCATGCAGCGCCCCGAGCCCCATTTTCGGTTTTTTTTTTTTTCTGCTACCGGACGCTACACGCCAACGTTATACCGTGTGCGGCCGTCCACCGCGTTGGTAATTTCCAAGCGGTTGTTTCGGACGACGACGACGCTGTTATCATAAAACGAAAACCCGATAATATTATTATTAACAAGTATTACGAGGAACCCGGCGCGACACGACGAGTAACAATAATAATTACAATAATATCACTATTACGGTTACGGCAGTAATATTGTGCCGGTGCGTCGAGAGACGAATGGGAAGAGAGGAACGGCGGCGCGAAAGAACGGCGCGGAGGAAAACGCGGCGGCGCGCGCGGACGGAGCGCGCTCGCGGGGGGGCAGGGTCTTTTGGGGCGGGGGCGGCGGCCGCCCAACAGGCCGACGATTGGCCCGGAAAAAAGCGCGGGACACGCGGCGGAGTCCCGCCGAAAAACGCGCGCCGGTGCCGACGCCGGGGGGATCCGCGGCGGCGGGGTGGCGCACGGTCGGCGGGCGGTCGGGCGGACGGGCGAGCGGCGAGGACCGTAGCAATAATAATAATCATGATAATATTGTATTATTATACAGTGTGTCGTACGCCGTAGTGCCGATCGCGGCGCAGTATCGTTACCGACGCCGAACCGTACGGCCGTGGCCACCACCTGCACACCGCCCGCTCGCGCCGTCGGACTCCCGCGAACGCCGCCGAACGCCGCCACCGTTGCGCGTCGTCGCAGTCGCCGCCGAGCAGGACCATCGGCCGTCGTCGTACCCCGTCGCCGGACGCTCGCGCACGCAACGGCCGCAGCGCGCGCTCGCACGCACGCCGCCGCCGCGCATACACGCGCACGCCGTCCGGACCCGAGCGAAAGGGTCTCGCCGCTCTTCAGTCGTTGGACCACGCGCAACTCTTCCGGGTGTCGAGTGAATCGGATCCGCTCTCCGAGCACTCTTCATTAATTTTCCCGCGCCCGAACCATACATACGCTTGCGTACGCTCGTATCGGCGCCCGGTGTTTAATATTATTATCGGTTTTTTTTAAATTTTTTTTTATTTCCGAAAGTCGACAGACCGAAGACGCCTTAGACGTGCCTTAGAACGCGCCTAGACGTGTTCCGTACGGTCGTTGTTTCGCCCGTGCGTTTTTCGTGCATTTGTTTCGCGGACAATAGACCGCCGAGAGTTTTTAATAATAATAATAAAAAAAAAAAAAAAGTTCAATATTTTAATAAATTATGGCCGTGCCGTTCGACTTTGATGAAATACACCCCGAAGGAAACCACTTCACGGTTATTCAAAATTTGCTCAGAGAAATGTTGACTTTGCTCAGATGGCTGCCGTGGACCGCTAGTGGTGAGTGTTGATTTTCGTGTATTTATCGATTAAGCGCGGAGTCGGGAACGACGACGTTTTATGCCGGGGTCTGTTCGAATTTTTCGGCGGGGAAAAAAAAATTAATTTGCGCGAAAAAAAAAACAATCGTCGTCGGTGATAGGAAAAAAAAACAACGAATTTTCTTCGACTAACAAAACGCGTTGTTTGTATTATTATTTTTTCCGACGAATCGGAATTATTATTTATTTATTTATTTTTTTTTTTTTCTTGTATTTCGATACATATTTCGCGACGAGACCTCGCGAACGTTGCAAAATAAATATCCACGTGTGGGGAATTATAAAAAAAAAAAAATTACGTAAACGTTTCCGTTGTTGCCGCGGCGGACGTTTGCGAAACGCCGGGCGGAATAAAAGCCCGGATCGCGAGTTCACGAGATTTTCCGGCCGGCGGATCGCGGACGAAATACGGGGTGAAAAAAAATTCGCCGACGACGAAAAATGGGTGTTGGAAAAAAAAAATCCGTAAAAAAAAAAAAAAAATCGCCCGACATTGATAGTGTTCCGGTCGGTCGAAAAAATTTCCCGCGTTCGCCGGTACCAAAGGTCACCCACCCGGACGGACGCGTACCGACGGAATAGGACCGGGCGCGCTGCTGACTCGCGCGGCTAAGGCGGCGGCCGTCTCGTCCTCGAGAGGCGCGCGCGATGTGAACGACCCAATACCCGGCGGATCGTCTTTATTCGACGGTTTTTTATTTTTTTTTGTTGTTGTTAATACCGTGGGCCGGTATTATTGTAACGTTTAAAAAATATAATATCGTACGCTGAAAAAAAAAAAACCGTCTGGGTACACAGTGAAATAACTTTCGTTCTGTATACTTTCCGAAGTATTTTTTGTTTTTTTTTTTTCCGGTTTTCTCGTCATAAGTTTAGGTATGTATAGGAACCGCTTGTATATTTTTCTGAAATCCAAAACGAAACGAGTTTTTACTGCAGCCAAATACCGTAACAGAATTTGAAACATATATTTTCGGCGTGTCATAATATTATAATAATATCTACTGACGACGAATCCGTTGGATTTCTACGTTATTTTTCGTAGTTTACAAAATATACCGTCGCCGAAATGTACTATTTTTCACGGTAAATTTTGCAAACCGTTAAATATTGTTCAGGATAGGCAACAAAAACTGTATCATTTAAATTGTCGTTGACTTCAAAAAATCGTAAAAAATCAACTATCCCGGATTTTGTAAAAATGATTTTTCAAAAAAAAAAAAAATTAATTAAATGTTTTTTTTTTTTGCTTTTATGAAAAAAATAAAACAATCGAGGAATGTTGAGACTCTAGTGATTGTCTCGAGAGAAAATAAAAACTTTAAAAATATCGAACTGGAAAAAAAGTTCCCGGGTCGACGCTTGAAAAATTTGAATTTTTTTCTCCCACCTCGCCACCAAAGTGTTCCCCTGTATTTTATTGGGAACTCCGATTTTTTTCGTCCCCGCGCCGAAATTCTTAGAGTATTTTAAAATTGTTCGAAAATTAATTAAACGCCGTGGAAGAGTTTTTCCGATTGGAATTTCAAATTTTCCGTCACCCCGGTACGTTTAAAATATCGAAAAGAAGTTTCAAAAAAAATCCATTTTTAAATATCAGTCCGATATTACATAATATACTCGTAGCGATTTTTTAGCGCGTGGGTTTTATTTTTGTTAATCGTATTCCGGCCATATTCGGCTTTTATTAACCGGTCAACTTGTTAAATGGAAATTGAAAAAATATAAAAAATCAAAAAGTTAAAAATAAAAAGTTTAAATTTTCAGACCGCCGTTTTGTTATGATCCTTTTTAAAAAAAAAAGTTGGTTATCACTTATTACCGTCGCACACAATACTCGAGCGTTCGAAAAATTTGACAAAGGTCGGGAAATAAAATAAATGAAAAAATGATAATAACCGAAAAAAATTCAATCTTAATCTGCGGTGGTTTATAATAAAAGTCGACATTTTTTTTTCGGTCTGACAGAAATTCAACGGATTCGCTTAGTTAGAATTTTTTTTTTTTTTCTGCGGGGTGGTCTTAACATAAAATGTATCATCACTAATTACCGGATAATTGGTCGGAGGAAAAAACAACTAAAACTTATTAAGTAGAAAATTAAAGTACCGTCCGATTTTTCAGTAAGAAGCTTAAATTTCGGTTGAAGGGGGGTGAGGGGATAAAAGACTTTCGGTTATTTTTATTTTTTTTGAATTTTTTTTCATTGGCTCTCGCGTCGTTATCTTCGATTTGACGAGCGGGGGAGTAAAATAAATATCTCCGATTCCCCGACGTCGTCGTCGTCGTCGTCGAAAACGACGTTTCGTCTGATAGGATTGCGGACTGGACACGAAAAAAATAAACGAATCGCTTTTCTTGCGAAATTTCCGTCGGCCCCTATTGTTTCCCGCGCGTGAACAATGAATTGAAGTCAACAAGTCGCGGACCAAGGCCGCGGTTTTGAGCGCGCGACGTATTGGTTTTTTCTAAGCGCCTCGGGATGTTATCAGAACGCGTTTGGAATTATTTTTTGGTTTTTTTTTTTTCAGAACATCTTGAGAATATCGCCCTATTGATTCTTGTCCGTAATGTTCTTCGTAGACGAATTTACCAACGTAGAGGTAGAGAATAATCGCGCGTGTCTGCAGCGCCCGGCCGAAAAAGACCGGACTCGTCCACCGTCGCCGCACCACCAGTAGGTTTTGTCGATAAAATATCAATAGTTTTACATTTCCCGGCGACGAAAATAGTAACGCGCATAGTAATAGCCGGCGTTGTTTACGGGCAAAATCGGCCAACGTCACGTATAGAAAACCCGAATTCGCGGGTAACAACGTGCGATATTTTCCCGTCCGTCCGTCGGTTTTTTTCGGGTCGACTTTTATGTATTTTTCGGGGACGACGTACAACGGATTCGCGTACCTCTAGCCGTCACGTTTCGCACGCTCGTGTCTCGTTTGGTAATAGGAATAATGTCGATACGAAAAAAAAAAAAAAAAAACAACTAAAGGAAAACCGATCGCACTACGTTCTGGACTTTACGCCAAACGTGTTCGATACTAACCGCGCGAAATTCGGATACACGCGAATGCCGGCGACTCGACGCCGAGCCAATTTTCGACGTTATACCGTCGTGCGCGTTTGTTCGCGATATTGTAATGTCGACCTCCCGGGGAGACCGGACGGTATACGGAGAAAAGCTCGTTCGCACTCGTAATAAAACGAATATAGGTGTGCGAAATAAACGAAAGCGTACCCGCCAATCACTTGGATTGCCTATTACAGCCCGCCACAACGGTGAGAAACAATTAACGTTAGGGTTTACACCGCGGAGGGTAACAACAATAATATTTAACTTACTAAAAAAAAAAAAAATCCGCCTTCCGTACCGAAATCCCGTCTGTTTTACATTATCGATGCGCATATTCGATTTAAACGGGCCGAGTCACGCGCACGGCGAAATGGATTTATCCGGATGTCGGGGACGGCACGCGAAAGACGTACAACAATATTCAATGTTATTGCGTTTCGCGCCTAAAACCTTTTCTCTTTTTGTCGTTTTTATTCCGGAATCGGTTTTGATCGGGACGTTTTATTTGTTTGTTCACAGGCAACCCTTTGCCGAACTCCACGCTCGACAACCCGTTCGTTCCCCCGTACCTCATACAAGACTTTCCGGTCATCCAGCGCCTGATGGAGGGCGTGGAACGCGTGCGACAACAAGTCGAACGGGAGGATCTCCGCGAACAGCAACACCAGATCCACCTGGAACGCCTGCGACAGCTCCGACAACGGGCCCATCAAATCCGCCAGCAAGAGCGCCAGCAAGAGCGCGAGCAGCGGCGCCAGCAACAGCAGCCCGGCTTTTTGCCCGACTTGGTCGCGTCGTCCGTGGCCATTCCGGGGCCCGCGCCACGGTTGGAACCGGATCTTATAAGACGACCGGAAAGGCAGCCGGCACCGGAGCCGCAACCGGAACCGGAACCGGCACCGGCACCGGCACCGGCACCGGATCCCGTGCCACGATCACCGCCACAACCGAGAGGCGCATACAGACGCAAGAAACACGTCAAGGTGGAATCGGTCAGAATCCAGATGTGTCCGTCGTGCAGCTTAAACGGAGGCACATTCACGGCGATAATCAATACACTTTCGACCGATCAACAACGCGAGCCGACGTTCGACGACGATGTAAGTATCTCGTTTATTTTTTCGGTCGTATATTTTCAACGGGTTTAGAAAAAAAAAAAAAAAAAAAACACACAAATATTTTATTGTTTCTTTTCGCTTTTCGTTTGATCCACGATTTTTAAACATACACAATTTACGTACGTTATTAGAATACAATATAATTCCAATGAAAATCGATCAAACGTTTTTTTTTTTTTATAAAATACCTATTATACACGTAACGGTTATTTTATACGTGTGCCATTTGTGTGTGTTGGCAGGACGAGGAGGACGGATACTGTTGGGAAATTAAACGTCGACTCAAGTCGTTGTTCCAGCCATCGAATATCGACTCGTCCATACTCACGGCCGCGATGGTGATTATCGGTTGGAAAATGTTCATCAAACAGTAATGCTGCAGTATTATTGTTATTATTATTGATTGATTTTTTTTTTTTATTATTATTTTTGAACGGAGAACTAAAGGGAGAGAGAGAAAAACAAATTTTTTTCACATAAAAAAGACTATATATATAACAAAATAAAAAGTTCCAGTCACGGTTATAGTGACTACAACAAACTTTTAATAATCTAATCAAATAAACCGTTGATCTCAAATATTAGAATTGTGAGATGACTCCGTAACCGTAGCCAAAAAATCATATTTTACTTTTAGTTCATTAATACTATTATCATTATTATTTCGGTTTACTATTATTATGATAGTAAATTAATTATTTATTATTATTATTTTAATTTTTTTTTTTTTAACTATTATTGATAATATTAGTGTTATTATAGCCGTAGCCATAGATATTTTTAGATGATAAAGCGGTGGACGGACCGTGACTATTAAGGCCCGACGAAAATATTCCACGGGTTACCGGGACGATTAAACGCGGTAATTGCGGCCCGGCGTGTACGCGGCGTTTTACTGGTATCGCGCGACAATATTTGTCAACGATGCGGACGTATCTCGCATACGCCGTTGCGGTTAGATTTCCGGCGAGAACCGCGTGCGATCCGTAACCACTAACCGGGTTTCACCGCACTCGGCGCGGTAACCCGCGCCGGTATTTGTTGTCGTTAACGATATTACACCGCTAAGACCACGGGTATTGCGAATCGCGGTCCGTCCGTATTTCCGTCTTAATTTTTTAGGGTTAGGGTGTTTTATTTAGCCGGTCCGCGCGCGATCGTTGAGAATCAAACTGCGGCCGATCCGCCGGCCGGTTCGGTACTCATTGGCGCGAGCGCGTACGGACTTTTTTTTTTTTTTTAACATAGTTAATGTTTAAATTTTACGCAGGCATGTTATTGTGCGGATAGATACATTTTGTGTCTCTGTCCGTTACGTGTCGTCATTCTCTTCCGTCTATTTCTATTCTATCTCTATTTCTTTTGTACCTAATGTCACTTCCCATAGAACTGAGACCCGGTCTCAGTTCCGTTTGTTCACTGATCTCGGTAAAACTGTAGATTTCTGAACGTCACTGCCCGAGGCCCGCAGCTCCTGTCGGTCTCGGTTTTGAATCAGTAGGAAATACTATACTTATTTAGTAATTTAGTACATATACATTATACATATATAGTAATATAACGAATCCAGCAAGATGTCGTTCAGATGTGTTTGTGTGTGTGTGTTTGCGTGTGTGTATATATATATATACACACGTGACGACGTCGAGGAATCGTAAAAAAAAAAAAAAAAAACCAAAAAAACCAAAAAAAAAAAAATTATAACCATTATGTAAATATTATCATATAAAGGTACGCTTGCTGGATTTCGATCGCGTGTAATGGATACGAATATTTTTTAAAGAAATATTATTACGTTGCATGTGTTTTAATTCTTATTTACTTTTTTTTTTCATTTATATTTTATCATTTTTTTTTTTTTTTATTTATTTTCGAAAAGCATTTCTGTGGTGTTTAATAAAACCCGGACGTCGCCGGGGCCAAACGCTTCGAGCTTAAACCATTCATCGCGAATTTCCTCCCGGCGACGCTCCTCGTTTCGCCCATCAAAGCGTTTCTGTGATTGTATCTATAATTTTAATCTAATTTTACGTGTTTTTTTTTTTTCATTTATATTTTATCATTTTTTTTTTTTTTTTTTTTTTTTTTTTTTTCATATTGTATACCGAGAGAGAATACGAATTATTTCCGCGATACACGTTGCTTCGCGCGACGTTTTCCCGGCGATTCTTATTACAAATCGCGTGTATGCATGTTAAAGAAAAGAAAAGAAAAAAAAAAAAACAACTTAAAACTTAAATTTAGGTATACATACCTAAAGGAAGGAGATCGTATTGTGCGTATAGTTTTATATTAGAAATTAAGTATTCATATTATTAATATTAATAACAATACACTGACATAGTTGATTGTTTTATTTAGACGTATTTGTAGCGCATAACGAAATAATCAATCGATTAATATGATAAAAATATTAGAATTGTAATTATTATTATTATTATTATTAGTTATTACGGTACACAATGGTGTTCTTAGGTTATCGGTAGGCGTATAAGTATAATATTATTATAGGTTTATAGGTGTATAGGTTCGATTTTACTGTATAACGTTGGATATGGATATGGATATGTTTCGTGATTTATTGACGATGACGAACGTTTGAATGTCGGTGGTAAAATATATTATTATATGGTCATCTCTCTCTTCTGTATATAAGAAAAAAAAAAAAAAAAACCTCTCCCTCACGTAGGGAGAACGGTGGGAAAATGTCGATTATATTAGAATAACGATTGACGAAAGACTTGTTATAAGCGTTTTGTGATTCGAATTTTTTTTTTTTTTTGATTATTGTAGGTATAGAATTTTATATTTGATATTTTTTATTATATTATTATGTATTAATATTATATTTTAAATGTACATATTATATCCATTATTTTATCATTATTATTATTATTTTTTTTTTCATTTATACACGTATATTATTACTACCTATTATTATTATTACATACATTATTATTGGAAAAAAAAAAAAAAAATTAAATTGTCGCGTGAAACAATCGTCGCCAAACTAAAAAAAAAAAACAAAAAACAAAAAAAAAAAATTATATTTATGTCAATTCTTATTATATAATGTGCGTTATAATATTATATTATTATATTTTTCGGTGTTGCGGACTCGATTGGAAAGAAAAAAAAAAAAAAATTATAATTTTCGCGCGTCCCGTTCACACAATACCTATTATTATATTATTTAAATAATTATTATGTTTTAAGAAAAAAAAAAAAAATACGAAAAAAAAAAGCGCAAATCACTGCCCCGCGCTGTAGTACTGCGGCTGCGGTATACCGACGACTGCACACACACCTATTATAAATCCGACCCACCGTTCAAAAAAAAAAAAAAAAATTGTTTTTCTCTCCCCTTAGACTATTTTTTTTTTTTTTTTTTGGTCTACTTATTTGTACAAATCGCATGAAACGTAACATACAATACGACATAATAATATCATATTGTATACATTACGGTTACTTAGCTCATTAATAATTATACAATCGTAATAAAATACCTAATATTTTTTAAATTTTTTTTTTAATTTTATTTTTATTATTATTATTTTATTTTATTTTATTTTTTTTTTTTTTTACCTTATTATTGTATAACATACATTATATTATTATTATTATTATTTTTTCGATTATTATTATATTGTATTTAGCGTGCGAGTGATGCGAGTAACGCACACACGCGTCTTACTACCGTCGTCTTTCTATATATACATATGCCAATATACCGCGTACGAATATATATATATATATATATATACATTAATTTTTTTTATTTTCTCGACGCAAAACATAAAATTATTATTATTATTATTATTATTATTATTATTATTACAATAAAACACTGCTGCAGATTTCTGTAAACTATATTATATTGTATTATTATATATATATCATATATTATCGTCCGTGTAAAACGGACAATTATATGTATTGAAGAAACAATAAAAACGTTTGTATTTAAAGAGAAATTAATTGAAAACAATAAAAACAAAAAAAAATTCATATTGAACATGATTCGTGCGTCTTTGTTTTCCTTTTCAAAATTTCCATCCGTTTTCCCCGTCTCGCGGCGCCCGTACGTCGTACGTCGTGCGTCCGCGTTTGAAGCCGCGGGGCCGCGGCGATATCGATACTTACGATCTGAACAACACATAAAAAATCGAGTATGAATAGCGTCGAGTATTTACGGCGAAACGGACGGCGCCGGGCCCGGACTGAGGGTGTCGCGGACGCCCGTGGGCCCGTATTAGTAACGGCGAGCCCAAAAAAATAAGCAAAAAAAAAGAAAAAAAAAGGTTTTCAAATATTCGACCCGACTCGTGATTTACGGTTTTTGCGGGCCCGGACGGGACTCCGAGACGTGGAATTTCGGATCCGGGTAAAGGGGGGTATCGCCCTGTCCCCGCGAGAACTAACCGGCGAGTGCGTAATGTATTACGCGGACTCTTTTCTGATAGTAAAACTATTGGTATAATACCTGCCGACCGAATACTAACAGCAGACGACGTGGTTAGGTTAAACGAGAAAGAAAAAACCTATAAAATTGGTTTACGCGAGTAAAAAAAATAAAAAATCCGTCTTTTTCGGCAAGTGAATCGGTCAAATGGACTTGGTCGGCTCCACGCGAAAAAAAAAATCACTTCGTCACCCTTTGGGTTCGAATTAATGGTCTACAGACAGCAAAGAAAAGAAAAACGATCGAAAATATACGAATAGAATAAATTTTATTCATTATTAGGGTTTTTTTTTTACGTATTATAAAAAAATAACAACATTTATACTATTGTAAGGGTAATGGTATACTTTGTAGAAAAAAAAAAAAAAACAACTGAAACTGTTGATGAATGGGAAAGTATGTATATAGGATGCATAGAGTTGTTTAATCAATATTTTTAGGCAACGATACATCTTTGGTAACGAAATACGATTCTGACCAAAGTTCGGTTATACCTGTAGTACTAGGTACGTGTTTTGAAATTATGCGGTTGATATTATTTACGATTTCCATTAAAATGTTAATTTAAAAAAAAATCATAATAAAAAAAAAAAACTTCTACATTACGCTAAAATGTATTTATTGTTTTACTATACTCATTATAATATTATACTTATAACGAATCTCGTATAGAATTTCCAAGTATTTCTCTTCGGCCAAAACAATTGTCAATAATTTTAAATTTCTATATTCTACATAATTACTAACATCAGTAAAATAACATGAAAATCGCTAAGATGTTTTGAAAATTCTACCACGTAGTAAGTAGCATGTAATAAAGGCCAACACTAATATATTTGATCGTCATTTCCCATATTTTTTTCCCGGTTTTTTCAATTATTTAGAAATTCACAAAAAAAAAAAAATTAAAAACAGTTCCTATTCTTTATACCTATAAGACAAAATTTTACTTCGGTATGAGAAGATACTATACTTGAAAATCGGAGCGAAAATCCTCGTAGGAAAATTGATTACAGACACAAAAAAAAAATTCGCATGCATCGTAATTTAAAACCAATACTTTCAACTAAGCTAAAATTGGCTGAGTTTTTGAAGCTAAGCTTCAGTCAGCTAAGTACAGAATGTAAATTTTGAAATTTAAAAGGTTCTAAATTTTCACAAAGATAAATAAACAATAAAAAAAAGACGATCAAATACTAATCGTATAGGTAATATTTGTTGACTATGCTAAATATTATGAATTTTGCACTCCCGGTTTTGAATTTGATTTGTTGTGCAGTGATTTTGCTGCAATTTTAAAAATCATTTCGCTGAAGTAGTTAAACTGTATTGTTCATTATTTTTCGGCGTACATTTGGAGTCGCTATCGGATGATGCGGGCCGGCTGCGTTCACGAACGCGCCACCTTCGTGTCGTTATATTGGATTTAATATTATTATTATTATTATTTTTTTTTTTTTCTTGTATAAAATAAAACGACTTTTGACGGGGGGAGGGGGGAGGAAACCGACGAAGAGTAAACGTTTTCAACCGCGGACAACCCGCACAAATGGCATGGAAAATTATCGTACGGTTTGTCTTCAACCGAAAATTACAGTGTACTCGAAGACCGGTCCAAAACAGTGGCGCCCGTCCGTTCGTTCGTTTCGTCATCGGTTGCAGTTCTGTGGTTACAACAGCCGTGTGCGCGTTTGTGTGCGGTATGGAATCGTGTCGGGCGTACGCTCTTGTAACAATTTAATAATAAATGACAATTGAAAATAATTATCGGTTCCGGCAGAAGGCGTTTTGCAAAACGGGTCTAAACGGCGAATTCGCGATATAATTTTCTAATTTTCGCTTATTAATTAAATGTTCAAAGCACATTTCTACGGTGTTTTCGCGTTGTTTCGACAACGTTTTGCGCGTATTTTTGCGTATCAGGCGATTTTCATTCCCGTGTAAACACAACTGTTTCAAAATATTATCTCAAGAAACTCCAATTTTTTTTTTTTTTAAAAAAATAATCGTTTAACTTTTAGGAATTTCCTTCGCCACTTTAGATGCTATTAACAGTTTTATTTTGTTATTTGCGGTTTTTTTTTTCGGGCGCTCCACGAAAATATATTCCGATCATACGTAATTCGATCGTTTAACAAAATGAATTCCAAAAGTGAAATATTTTCTAATTTTTTTTTTTTCGAGGGGGGGGGTCGTTCTTTTTTGGAGTATTTTTGATAGGGCCGTGGTCCTCGAACATGTATTATAACTGGGGTTAGTTTCTTCTAGCATTTTCATTTTACATTTTTCGCTGTTTAGAACATATTTTAGCATTATTTAGCTTTTAAGTGCTATACAAGAACTCATATATTCATATCTTATATTTCTCCATCACGCTATGTGGTACGGAGTCACACAGATTTAAATTACCTACGGTTATTGAAAAAAAAAAAAAAAAAAAAAAAAAATGTTAAAACTAAATAAAGTATAACGTCAATCGGTTTGAATTTATGTATTTTAAAATTGCATTTGCTAGTTTTATCGTCATTCTCGTTATAATTGATATCACTCAGTAAATTGGATATCGATGTAAATGAGCGCGACAACAACCGTATTATGGCCCATCGAATAAAAAAAAATAAATAAATTACACTATTTACGAATAAAATAAATACGAGTCGTCACAGCAGGCATACTGGCTATAGGCGGTGACTAAGATAAAAGATTCCTAGACACAAGACTTCCAGGATTCCTGTGAAAAGTACAAAAAATGCGCGACGCGTCGGTTAATTGCTTTTAAGTGGTGTACACGAATAATGTTTAAAATATCTAGATAAAGGTTAGAGAAAAAAAGCAGCTAGATTATGTATAAATAGATGAAAACTGTTACGTATCGTTACACAACAATTTAAGTACCCAGATGAAGATATTCATAAATTTTTTGTCTGGAAAAAATAAGAAAATTTCGTTCATTACCCATCATAGAACCGCTAAAAGTAGTAAAAGTGTTGAAAATTCGGTGCGCGTCATCTGGACTTCGTTGTGCGATTGACGTAACTCGGTGAGCCAATATTTTATTAATCCACACGAATATCAGTCGAATAACTTAGGTACACTCATTGTTTTTATTAAATAAATAGTACAATAAAAAAAAAAAAAAATGTATAAGGATTTGTCTAGACGATTCAATTATTCGTCTTGAATAGCGGTCCGGACAAATTGTCATTTCTCCGTCGTCGTCTGTACAGATTACGACAAAAGATGAAAACAAATCTGGGTAAATGATTTTTCCGGGTCATAACAATTGATTCCGGACAAAACGCCACGCAGTCCCCCGCGATCGAGAAACTCGTCGGCCGAATCGATATCGTAACAATACGCGCCGTTGTTGTCGGGCGATTCGCGTCGCGATAACTGTTTAATTTGGCGGAAAAAAAAAATAAATAATAAATATTTTAATAACAGACAGCGCTCTAGTCCGTCGCCGTCGTCAGTCCGTTTACCCCGAGTGTACCGTTTTCGGCGAGCCCATTAACGAAAGCCGACCGACGCCTGCTCCGGGGTCGCCTTTTCCTCGACGTCCGCCGAACTCGTGCAACGCTCACCAGCTCGTTTCACCGCCCCGTCCGCCTCGTGCCGTATCACCGACCGCCGCGGTCCGTAATAATCACGCCGCCATCCGTTTAAATCCGCTCGAATTATCGTTAATTTATTGTTAACGACGTTTGTGTGTAATATTGTCATAATAATGTCGTCAAACAGTAACAGTTGTCGCGCGGTGTCTACAGGGCGATTCTTCTATCGCGAACCGACACGCAATTGAACGGCCCACCCACACTCGTCCGGTCTAAATTGCACAAACACTGTTGCGTAACTCACAAACGGTAAATCCGCTATCAACGATTCTAGAAAACCGTGCAATTTTGCATTGATCGAAAGACACGCGGTCGCTGTTTGAGAATCCGAAGCGGATACTCATTTCGCGCGTAAGGTGTGCGGGGGAAATCGCGATGAAATAAATGTTCGACGATTCAATAACGAGAAAAACGAACGGAATCGCCCCCCCCCCCCCCCCGAGAAAATTGACGGTTCGCGATAAAAGTATCGCTCTGTATGCCCACCTAATTATATTATTGGCGTCTCGTCCGGTGGACTATTAGGCAGTTACGATGATAATATTATTAACGACGCGATATTAACGGGACAAACAGTATTACTATCGTCGAATGTGCGGCTCCGAAGCGCTCAGACGGTGCCCGATATATGCGAGTATGACGTTAGTTATTTATAGGTACACGATTGATTTTCACGTGTCGGAACTAAAAAAAAAAAAGTCTAAAATGTCGAACGTCCGTGTAAATAGCTCCCTCCGGAATGTTATGCCGACTCAACCGCGTCTGGAAAATGCCATTATTATAGTGTACGGTGAAAATACCAAAGATTACAATTAGTTTCAACCGAATTTCAACGAGCAGAAAACCAAATCGAAAATCATGAAAATTATTATCGCCGAACATTTCCGTACGGTTTTTTTATCAAACGGTGCATTGTCGAAATG